TGTTTCTATGGAAATGGTTCACACAAACTACCTTCCTGAGTTTCATCAGTTCTTACCTTCACGACTAAGACCCGTCATACAACACCCACTTTAGTGAACCACCCTCATTCTACTCATATTCTATTAGTGAGAAGCGTCTTTCCACAAACCGCTGATTTGTAGAACCGACTCTGAAGTGGATGCTTCCCCGATCACTACAAGCTTACGCTGTTCAAGTCTAGGGTTTAACCGTTATCTTCTCCACATGACGCCACTCTGTAACCCTCTACCACGAGTAGCTCTTGGGCCTTGGTACAGAATGGACATTGTAAAAAGAAAAAAAAGAAAAGAAAAAAGTACCACCTCAATTCTTGGTATAGATTCGACAATGTTATGGAAGGACTATTTCAAAATTGTGGTTCCTTCTGTTTTATTATGACATCTCACAGATTTCCTAGATTAGTTAGTTGTCTATCCGATATACTCATCTCCCTTTCGACCACATCCAAATGTGCTCTATGGAAACGATATCCGGTGACTGTGGCTCTAAAACAACAAACCCATTGGTGTGTTCCACAAACCTGCCACTATATTTGATTTGTGACACGAGAGGTTGTCCTGCAGGATGGAGGGGTTCACTGTAATCATAACTAGAGGCAAGTGGTCAACCACAATACCTTGGCAAGTTGCAGCATTTAAGTAACAGTTTATTGTCACCAAGAATCACAATGTATGACAAGTAAATATTCCCCATACCATCAGATCACAATCAAGAGATTGAACCGTTAATACAAGACAGGATTCCTTTACACTTTTGATTTACTCTGACTTCTGCTCATACCATCTGGAGAAACGAGGCCTATCAAACCAGCCCACGTTTTTCAAGCTTTCCGTGGACGAATTGGTATGGCCGAGGACGCATTCCAAAAACTGGGCAGAGTATTACGAGGCAGGACTTATCTGCTACGTGATCTGTTTTCCTTTACGGCAGCGAATGATGGACGGTCTCCTAAAAGATGAAGAAACTCGAGGCGACGGAGATGTGATTCTACAGAAGGATGCTAAGGATATCATAGACAGAGCATGTGAGCAGCGATGAGGTTTTGGAGAGAATGTAAGCAAGGAGGAGGCTTATACTTAACATCAGAAAGAAGCAGCTGAAGTTTCTGGGACACGTAATGAGAAAAGAGGGCCTGGAGAATCTGATACTCACAAGTCGAATAGAGGGAAAGCGAGACATGACATACCTAGCGGGCTTAAGCAAGTGGATGACAGAACTTATTGAGAGCTACACGGTATAGGGGGAATGTGGAGATCCATGATCGCCTACGTCCTGAAAGGACACGGTAAATAAGAAGAAAAGAATTGTACACTTTTCTATGCTTACCAAGAAAAAAAGGACAGACCATCAACTGCTAGGAGACAGTAGTACGGTCATCAGCAAGAAAAATGACTAAGATGCGAGTTACGTACTGGAGATGTTAACATCAAGTAAATATAGAAGTTTAAATATCTGGGAAGTGTTTTAACGGAGGATGGAAAATGCGGCACCGAGATCCGAACACGTATTGGACAAGCAAATGATTCACTCCAAAAGTTAAGCAAATTGATGAGAAACAGGAAATAAAAAAACCCCAAAAAGTTAGGAACAAAGAAAAGAGTTTCGGATTACTATGTGATATCCATTCTTTTATATGACAGTAAATGCTGGGTAATCTCTTCATAGATGAAGATAAAACTGAAAGCATTAGAAATTTGGTTCTACAGAAGGATGTTGGGAATTTCATGAATGGCTTGAGTAAGCAACAACGAAGTCTTAAACAAAACGAGAACCAAAAGAAACATTTATACTCAGAATCAGGTAGCGAGAGCTGAAATTTAATGGACATATTTTGAGGAAAGAGAATTTGGTAAGCTTAACACCCACAGGACAGAAAGATAGAGAAAGGCAACGATCAACCTACTAGATGAACTTGTGCAAATGGATTATGGAACGATGGGAGGCTTAGTATAGTATCAAAACTAAAAAAAAAAAAACTGATCAGGGCCACAAAGGATAGGAAGTTATGGAGAGCTATGTTCGCTCATGTTCTGAAGGGATGAGGTACATAAAAGAAGTGAATTGCAGAATTAGTTTCTTATTCTTGTTTGAAAGGTATAGCACCCAACGGGTCCAGCTGCTGCTTCAGCCCTTCTGTGTCAAGATCAAACGGTGTTGTCCTTTCATAGAAGCTCTGTTGTTTACATCCATTGTAGTTATTTGGGCCGCTGTTGCATCCTGGAATTGGTTGATATCATTGGCTAATTAGAGATTTGCATAAAAGACTACACACACACACACACACACACACACACACACACACACACACACGAATTTCACGTTCTGGTGGTCTGAAGATCGCAAGGGCGTGAAACTGGAGTAATATCTGGAGCTCTCCTTTGTTAAGTGTGGCAGTCTTGAAGCTTTCAAATTCTGTCTAGGCCTTGAGCACTTTGGTTTATTGAGTAAGTAGGTATTTGTCTTTTGGTCTTTGTTTTGTTTCTTTCCTCTTCGAGATTTTTCCTTGTCTTATTTCTTCTGGCAAGTTGTCCGTTGATCAAACCAACGTAATTGGGTTAGTTTTTCTAATTTTTCTAATATATATATATATATATATATATATATATATATATATATATGAATCGAAGAGCTTCCTTGATTCGAATTCCAGTTGACTTCATTACATTTACTTATGTACATGGGAAAGATAGGAATTCTTTTCTTCTACCCCCAGTTGTGGGTAAATAGCAGCACAAACAGGGTCCTGTAGCCTTGGGTGGCGAACAGTCTAGAAGAAAGACAGCTCTGAATTCAAAACCTGCGCAGTGTCGTTTGATGGCCTTGTGTCATACGCTACGTGTATGTTTGGTTCTGCACAAGCCTTTACTAACTATAATCAAATATTTGTAGGTAGTCGGACAGTTGGTTCTAAGAACTAAGCTGCTTGACTCTCATACGTCGAAAACTATGGTAGAGTCCAATACATGCACACACACACACACACACACACACATATATATATATATATATATATCAAAGTGTAGAAGAACATTAATTTTAAAACAGTGCTCAATATAAAAAGTAGAGCCGTGAATATTTATTTATCTTATGCAGCGTTACATTAGAACATGCACATATCCACTACAAAATTGTACATTTTTGTTTCAACGTCAAAAAGAACATCTGATGAGACGTTAAAAAAGGTTTGACTTTGAAACAAAAAATAACAGTTTTTTAGTGGATATGTGCATGTTCTAATTTCGAATTTGTATATTAGTCGACTTAATTTTACGGAAAATGTATATATCTATCGTATTTGTCGGCATATAAAACCCTATACTTACGGTTATTATTTGGGTATTATGGATTTAGACGAATTGCAAACCTTAATAGTTATTATCCGGATAAAATTTCTTGGGTTTTAGAGATACTTACACTGCATATAAGCTCCAAGATGTTTTCTAAGACATTTTGTGAATAAAAGTATGGTCCAATATGCCATTAAATACATTAATTTTTACAAAAAACATCGTCGTAATTAATTAATCAACTGTCGAAAAATACGCAATAGCACGCACCGTATTGCCGTTTCCTCCTATTTTGGGGACTCATCGGCAGTGCGCATCCACAACCGAGAATCGATCCCGGATTGTTACGATATGACGCAAGCGTCAAAATCACTAGACTAACGAGTCTCGGTGCCGGAGAGGTGACAAATCAGACTCAGTTACACGACGGAATTTGTGAAGACCTGATGCTATATCAAGTCTGGTATGTTGCCTCACCGTCGCCGAGACCCGTTGGTCCAGTGATTGTGACTCTTACGTCATATCGTAACAAACCGGTTTCGATTCTTGGTTGTGGATACGCATTGCTGATGTGTCCCAACTATAGGACGAAACGGCGTCTAGCGTTTCTGCATTCTGTTGAGGATTCTTCTAGGCTCGATGCTTATTCAAATCCCGCTTGATATATAGGAAATTAATCTTTGTAATAATACCATTTTGTAAAACAAGTTCCATTAACACGTTTACAAAGAGGGCTCCTATCGAGAGACAATTCTATTGCTCGTATTATTATTTCTTTTAATAAAGAATTTCGGGCAATATTTATTCTCTACATATCCGGTTTCCTAGTTTTATTTCCGCAAGTAGGTTTTTTTTAGCAATAGTCTGGCTTCGTCGATATGTTTTTTTTTAATATTATAAAAACTTTGCTTTATTGTTATTCTATTCTGATTATATTTTCTTGTAGAGGCCGACGATTTTTAGAAATGATAAAATATCGTCCACGTTTACCTTCTCGAAAAGCTCAAATATTTTCTTTATTTCTTTCGTTCGTTCGTTTGTTCTTCATTTGTATAATTCTCTCTATCTCAAATCTGATTGTTTCTTTCTTTCTTTTTCGATTTATTCTTTTTATCTTTCTTTCTTTTATTTATGAAATCTTTATTTCTTTTCCTATTGAAATCTTATAAATCTTTCTTTTCCTTTTCATCATTTCATTCTTTCTTTCATTCTTCTTTTCTTTGTTTCTTTTAACATCTTTTTAATCTATTTTACTTTCTTTTTTTACTATTTATGTATTTCTTTTTCTTTCTATTTAACTATTCTTTCTTTCTTTCTCTCTTTCTTTCTATTTAACTATTCTTTCTTTGTCCCATTTAACGACTTATTCTTTTTCTTCTTTCTTTCTGTACGTTCATCATTCCTTCCTTCATTCTTTTATTAATTCGTTGATGCTTTCTTTCTTTCTTTTTACCATTTAGCATCTTTCTTTCTTTTCGTTCATCATTTTTTCTTTCCTTCTTTTATTCATCCCTTCACCTTTTCTTTCTTTCTTTCTTTCTTTCTTCTTTCTTTCTTTCTTTCTTTCTTTCTTTCTTTGTCCCATTTAAAATCTTCCTTTAAAATCATACGCTTTAAAAACTGTCTCTTAAAAGGAACCATTCAAAGTATATAGTTCGACGCACCTGACTACTTCAGTTAGTGACGTAATCATTACACGCAAATACAGACATATGATATAAAGGAAAAAAACGCAGACAGGAAGGAGGAGAAAGGTGGAGGAGAAAAAGAAGAGAATAAAAAGAGAGATAAAGGACAAAAGAATAAATGCAAGTGAAGAAAAAAGAGAGAGGAAAGCAGTTCAGAAAGCGATTGAGAGAGAGAGAGAGAGAGAAAGAGAGAGAGAGAGAAAGAGAGAGAGAGAAAGAGAGAGAGAGAAAGAGAGAGAGAGAGAAAGATGAGAGCTGATGGTTATCGGCCACTTCCTCTACCCCCTCGTAATTTGTCGTTCGACAATTACCTGTCTGCACTTCCACGCCCGTACGAGCACCTTGAAATCGGTAGAGGTGTGCAGATGCAAACGTTAAGACTGAAAATAAAAGATTAAAAAAAAAAAAATGGTGTTATTTGAAAACTGAAAGCGCCCACTTTTTAATGTGAGGAAAGATCATTCTGTGGTTTTTCTGTACCCACCTCCGTATCGACGCGGCCGTGTCTCGTTTTGAAAAGCCCGACGTTTAGTAGAGCGAAAGAACATGTTTGTGTCATATGCATAGTGTTATTTAATAACCTTAGCTTAGTCTGAAAGACGTCACTTGTAGAGACTGAAAGGAAAACTGAACTAGCTACTGCGTTAACAGCCTGCGAGATAAGCTAGATAAACTGAAACGACTAAATGCTGTAAAACTCACATGCCATAATCATAGAAAAACACAAGGAATAAAAATCTTCCTCTGCTATATGTCTGATCCCTTCAGTACGTGGGTGACCATAGCTCTCCACAGCATCCAAAATTTTGTAGATTTTATTACAAATTTGTCCGACGTGACATTAATATGTAGGTTACAGACGTAACGCTGGTTTTCGTACAGTCACTGAAGTTAAGTAACGTTTAGCCTGGTCAGTACCTACGTGGGTGACTGCTTGAGAATGGTAGGTTCTGTAAGCTTGGATATGCAGTTAGTGTAGTGAATAATGCATTGTCAATCGAAGAGTCGAGTCCCTATTGGGTTCTTCATAGTCCCTTACGCGCAAATGACATAGGAAAAAGTGCGAATCCGCCTCTTTTCCCCATATATGGGTTAATTAGTAAGACTTTTATCACTAAAACATTATTATTCCCTACTCCCCAAATTCCCACAATCTAGAAATATTTTCTGGTTTTAAATAATCTGCAAAGGGTTGATAAGCAAATCAATCAATCATATATATGTGTGTGTGTGTGTGTGTGTTATGAAATATAACAGAGCTATAAATTATATATTAACAAATATACATTTTTTTCACCGGTAGCACGACTCAGGGCACAACGTCAGCACCAGAAGATTGCGTTGTGCATGAAACCACGAGTCATGCTATCGATGAGGAAAAAAATGTAAATTTATGAATATATATATATATATATATATATATATATATACTGAAATTTCTAAAGGAAATAATACTTTCCTCATTATTTACACTAGAAATTTCAATTGCCTCCTCCTGATGTGTAAGTTTCCTTTTATTCCTATTTTCTGTGAAACATCATTGTTGCTCACATATTCGTCGATGGTATCCTCAGCATCCTTCTGTAGAACCATATTTCTGTTGCTTCAAGTCACTTCTTCATCTTTCACTGTCATATAGGAGAACTGATATCACGTAACAGTTCAGTGCTCTTTTCTTTGTTTCAGCCTAAAAGATGTAAAAACTGATAAAATGTTTGAATAAACTCTCGAAAGTTCATATCTTTGCTCTGTTTTTGTTCATTTACTTTCGACCGTTTCACTCATTATTAACTTTGTGTTTTCAGTTTTGTAGACAAGATTTTGTTGGTTGCAGCCTGTTCTTTGTTGTTTCCGTCTGACGTCACTTATATGTCTATATTTGTCATTTGGATTGCGACGTTCCAAACATACAAGGATGCAGCCATCAGAGTTTTGTGAAGCATCCATTTCTTCATAATGACTGAGGAAATCGAAATTATTTGAGCAAAAACATAAACTAGACACAATTTCAATCCCGATTGACTCCAGCTTATTGAAAAACTGGATAAATACAATTTGATTCTGACCTGTCGTCTTGACTTCGGTTCCTTTCTCACCGTCGTGGCGTGTTTTTTTCCCTGTCTCCTCTATAATTATTTTCATGGTGTTTGTTCTAATAAACTCTCTTCCTTTTTACTTCGAATGCATGAATGTGAACGTACTACTGGATTGGCAATTAGGTCTCATTGTTTTACTGTTGAAATATCTAGATATAACTGTAATTTCTATTTAAATAGTTTTTTTCTCCCGTTTATTTTAAATTTTTAATTTTGCTTGTGGTATCCTCTTCTGATCTATTCAATCCCGGCAACCTATCCCTTTCAACCATTTAAATGCAACGTCAATCGCTATATTTTATCTTCCAGAAATCTCTTCTTTTATTGTCCTTTCTCTTGAGCTCTGATTCTCTTTAACGCCCAGTAACCCTCCTGTCGTCGCAATGACATTATCTTCTTGCTTGGAGTAAAATGATAAAACAAAAACAAAAGCAACAAAACTAAAATTAAAAAGATTATTCGGTTGATATTAAGAAAAAGTTTCTTTATTTCGTGCTATTTAAAAAAAATGAGCAGATATTTGGGACGCTTTTGAGAGCTAGACGCGATGGTGTGGATTATTCAAAAGGCAATTTCAACTTTGCTGGGCTGTGAAGGTCCATGTTCTGACTGCGGTATCTCCTACAAAGAGGGATGAAGGTTCGAATTTTGCCGGGGAGTAAATTTGCTTTATTAAAGTTTTTCGAATACACAAGCCAGTAGACGTAATATAAAGTGTTTAAAAAACAGATAGCTTTCTCAAACGTGGATATCCACAAAATAATGTTTGGAGTAGTAGGATATATATATATATATATATATATATATATATATATATATATATATGTGTGTATTACACAACAAAATCCAAAATTACCACATATTGAGGATAGATCTATTTCAACTGACGTCAGTCTTATATTATTGTGACAGCCGTCGAAAAATTAATACACAATTCATCCATTTCAATGTTTCAGTCAGACGAAATGCACGAGACAATTGTCAGGGGAGGGCACATTTAAAATATAGTTTTAAGGTATGCCATATTTATGAGTTAAAGTGCTCAATATCAGGGATAGATCGTATGCAAATATAAATGTGGTCATTGAAGTCAATATCCAGAGGCGACAGTCTGTTTCATGTCATATATCTGGATATTGACTTCAGAGTCCAATTTTACATATAATATATATATATATATATTTATATAATTAAAATTACACACACACACACACACTCACACGCGCGCATGCACGCACACACACACACACACACACACACACGCGCGCGCATGCACGCACACACACACATACAGGTTTGGTGGTCAATAGTTTTCAACTTGACCTATTTCTCATATTAGCAAATCAACAAGCATCAGATTGAGTGGAGAAACGCTTTCATAAACGTTGTCATTTTGTTGATTTATTTGAGTTGCTATCATTGATAGAGTGGCGACAGTCTGTTTCATCCCACGAACGCTATCATCACGCCTGATGATTACGTTCCCACTTAGTGTCGACCTCAGTTTCCTCTTATATATATATATATATATATATATATATATATATATATATATTATATTATATTTCGATCGCAAATCGTATACTATATTTAGTAATTTTTACATTTAAATATGTTTTAAATCTAAGAATGTGAAATTAAATTGAAAAACGGTAACAGCATCAAATCCGTTCAGGAATTTCTTTGCCTCGGGGGCAACATCCAGCCAACGGAGAGAGACATCAAAATCCTCAAAGGCAGGTCTCTGGGTGTCTTTGACATCCTGGGCACCATATGGAAGTTCTCTCTCTCTGACAATCTTAAGAGGGAATTCTTTAAGACCACGGTAGAATCAGTCTTGCTGTACGGCTCAACAACTTGGACAATGACTAAAACACTAAAAAGCCTAACTTAACAGAACATACACAAGGATGTTACGAGTTGCATGGGATATAAGCTGGAAGAAACGCCCCAAAAAGAAATGTATGTATGGATACCTTCCTCCTACCTCAGTTTCGCTAAGAGAGAGAGAGAAGTCTCCAGCTAGTTGGTCACTCCTGGAGAAGTAAGTCAGAGTGGCACCCTCTTATGGAATCCATTGCGCGGCAAAAGATCGGTTGGAAGACCTCATCACACCTATATTGACCAACTTGTAGATGATTCTGGATGCCATCTGAAGGACCTACCCACAGCAATGTCTGACAGAGATGGCTGGAGGGAACGACTCAGGAGAATCCGAGAAGAATCCTAGACTTGATGATGATGATGATGATGATGAAAATGGTTATTGAATGTCTCTTGTTTCTTTTTGTGAGTTTTCCCTGGTAGAATAACTCGTTTGATGTTTGGTGGGTCTTGTAAAGATTCTGCCAGGTCTCCGTGTATAGTGCCATATATGGATAATTTAACACAAGTCAACGCTGACCCTTCTATATATCGTTAGTCGATGATGGACAACACAACAATACTCTGTTACTCTAAAAGGCAAAAAAGCGAGTAGCAATTTTGGAGGTTCAAACCGCGGTCACCCACCATCAAGAACCTTTGTTTTAATCTTGGTGCACACTTGATAAAATATCTAAAATCTATGACTAAATTATATTGCACTACCACTGGATCTGAAACTGCAATAATTTCAAACTCCAGACCTTTAACAGCATAAATGTTCCAGTGATTTTCTCCCGATAACTTTCTTTCCTTGAAAATGGATGACAATGGACGAATGTTTACTTCTTTAAAGTCTCTTCACGGTGTGGTCGGTCATAGCGTTATACAATTTTTTTCACCCCAGGTAAAGCAATAAATCCACTAAGACGCAAAGGGTTACTTAGTGTGAAAGAAGATGAGTAAAAAAAAAACACTATTAAGGAGAGAGAATAATACAAGAACAGAAATGAAAAAGGCAGAAGATAACGATTGACATTGCATGTAAACTTTTGAAGATCAAAGTTGAGTAGAAAGCAGTACACCGGAAGAGAGTCCCACAAGAGAGAAATGCGATAGAAGAAACTGTTAATCTAGAAATTAAGGTCATATCTGACCATTTCAACTGTGAAATGATGAGGCCTTGCCACCAATCGAGTACTGCGATTAAATTCATAAAGTCTAAGCAGCAAATAGGAAAGCTCATCAGATCAACATTGTAGATTCTTCTTTGGAAACATAACAGAACAATTAGTGAAAATATTTATAGAAATGACACAGGCAACATATGTTACGGCGGTAGGAAACTTACTGAAGCCGTGATGCTAGATCAGGACCGATAACATTGCAGATTCTTCTTTGGGATTTATAAATACTTAGCAGCATCAGATCAGATGTGACAGCAATATTCAAAGTATGAACGAAAATTAAGCTTATAATTTCTTGTCATTTTTAGCTTTAAGTAATGTTTGTCCCTTATCATCTCCCAGGCTCTGTTCTGAGAGCCATTTACAGAAGCTCGTTAGATATGTTATTCGATGTCCCTCTCC